CGCTCGGGCTCTTCGCCGAGCCGGCGGCGCGCACGCGCGGCCCGCATCCTTGGCCAGGCAGAGAGTGGGTTGGCAGAGAAACCTGTCCCCACCTGGGACCGTTATCTCTCTGCCAGCCAGCCCCGCCCGGGGATGGCGAGCACCGAGGCCCGGTGGAGACGGGGTGCTCCCCGGGACAGTCCCCGCCCATCGCCGCCCCCGGCTCGGGGTGGCGGCTGGGAGAAACGGGGCACCCTAGATGGCAGTAGGGAACCTCGCAGCTGGAGGACCGCACACCTTAAGTCGGAGATAGGTGGGTCCTGGGTGGTTGTGAAATCTTGCCAAAGGCCTTTGGCTTTTTGGCTTGTAGGTCCCAGGGTGCGCCAATGTCCGTTGAAGGGTGGAAACGCCAAAATGTATTTATGATCTTAATTAACATACGACCCGAGTTGGGTTTAATTGCGGGATGCCCTCTCCCTCGAGATTTGAAAACTGCAAACGGTGACCACAAAAGTGTATGCAAAGCAACTTTCACAGAAACTGCTTAAATTATATAAAGAAAATTGCCCCCTTGACCTTAGGGAGCTTGCTCATTGCCGATTTTCCAACCCTTCCCCCCAAGTCATAGCTTGGACGTCTCTAAGACGGTGCCCACGAGTTACTTGTTTAGATGCTCTTAAGTCTTTACGCTGGGCTCCACGATAGCTGCAGATTCTAGGGAAATAATCTTTTTTCTGCACTTTTTAATATTGTAAGATGGGTAGATTAATTTTGGGCTTTTATCAGGGTAACGCTAACTTTGAATATTTCTATATGATAGAAAATACCATAAATACCTGTTTTCCCTTCCTCCTGGTTCTCAGAAAAACTGAATTTGTAGTGCCTTGTAGTGAGCCACACGTCCCGAAGCTGCATTGGCCTCCAGAAATGTCGTGGAGAAATCCTCTTGTCAGAAGATTCCTCCACACCATTTCTGGAAGTAAGGAGATAGCCTCCTGGTTTACAGGTGAGTTGGGTGAGAGTCAGAAATGTCTAGTGATGTCCTTGGGGGAACAGTATTTTGATAGTAAATATTTTGCAAGTATGGGCTACTTTATGGCTGTGAAGTAATAATCGTATACAAAGCATAAAAAGTAACAAAGAATTTTGGGAGTGGGGTGGGAATAACTCATAGTTGTACTAAATTTTAAATATTAATCAATAATTAATGATTCTATGATGAGTTGTTTAGGAACCCTGGGATGCTGCCTTAGGCATTTGTCTGCTAACTGTAGGGTCTGAAGTCACCAGTACCTCCTAGGGAGGAGAATGAGGCTGGCTGATCCTGTAAAAATTTTGTTTTAGACACCCTGTATCAAGTCACTGAGTCAAAATCTCCATGATAGTGGGTTTGGGTTTAAGTATTGATGACTTATGTTTTTCTGATTCATTTAATACCCAGCACTTCTGTTTATGTACCTTGTGTAACTGATGTAAGTTTACAAAATAAACTTCATAAAATTGCTGTTTTCCTTATTCTTAAGACTTTGGAATGTGAACAGATACAATCTGAATACCAGATTGCGCGTTTCTTATGATTCCATGTTATCTGTGTGAGCTTTACAAATAACCCTATGAGGTAAGTGTTTCATTCTGTATTTTCAGCTGAAGAGGTCAGCGCCTAGAGGGACATAATTTCTCCAAGGTCACATAGCTAGTAAGTGGTGGAGCATTTGATTTTTGCTTATTCTGTCCTTGTGGACTCTGATAGGGAATAAACCCTCTTCCACCCACACTCCCCTCAATTCTTTGCAGAGTCCACCAGCTTTTATCAGAGACTAGCACAGCCAGAGGCCACAGTGGGGGGTTGGGCGTCTCAACTTCTACTTAAAGAGAATAGGTCAGAGGTCCCAAACTGGCATCCTTGTTCTTCCCAAGAAGAGGAAAGAAAAAAGGTTTTCTCTGGTGGGGTGATGGTCCAGGACCATTTGCTAAGAGTTGTCATGCCCTTTTAGTATCTGACCAAGCCTTCCCTAATTTTGAGAAGGTATTTCCAAGTTGTACTTGGCTCAAACTTCTTAGAGCAATAGCTCTTGATTTCTTAGGTGGGCCATGAACCCTTTTGAGCATATTACAGAAAATTAGACTAAAAAATGCACATGTTCATGGTCCCCTCTTTTACAGTATATTATAGCCTATGTTCTGTTTAATTTAAAAATGTTGCCTAACTAGGAGCTCTCAGTCTTGAGACCTGGAAATTTCTTTATTAGCCTAGGACTGCCTGGCCTTTCTACTGAGGGAGTCTGAAAGTGAAATGGATGATTTCCACCTTAAAATCTATTTACTGAAGGCTAGGAGATGGGCCTTACAACACAGGTTCCTTGAAGGAGCTGGTCCCCTCCACCTTAAAATCTATTTACTGAAGGCTAGGAGATGGGCCTTACAACACAGGTTCCTTGAAGGAGCTGGTCCCCTCTTTCCTTCAGATCCTGCATTTTGCTCCCAAAGATGGAACATCAACTTTAATAGTGCTGAGGATCCAAATGGCAGCATATCCTATTTACTTCCCTAAAATTTGATGACTCGTTCTCCAGGTAGGTCCTCTGTCCTATTACCACAGTCAGATTTTCTACCCATCTTTGTCCAGCTACCCAACACACTGCTACTGGAGGCTTTCTACTTATGTAAAGGGTTAAACTACCCACGGGCAGTTCTACACTGTCCTGTAGGGTCACTGTGTATTGGAACCGACTCAATGACAAGTTTGAGTTTGTTCATAGCTGTAAGGCGCCCAGGAGCACTGTGGGATAAGCATTGGACTGTTCAAGGTTCAAATCCACCAGCTACTACAAAGGAAAAGATGAGGCTTTCCATTCCCATGCAGATTGCCATCTTAAGAACTCTGTAGGATAACTGGGTTTAGTTTTGGTGTTTGGATCCCGATCTGTAATTCTGTAGTAGTTTTATGTTACTTAGGACAGGGGTGAAAACATGTCTATGAGGAGGGGATAGCTTTAGTCTAATTCCCGATGCAATCAGAGAATTCCTAAATTAATGTGAGAATGTATACGTTGAATGATCGTAGAGAGCCCAAGGGAAACCTGTCCTCAGCACCTGGATTATGGACCCAGGATGGTGTCTTGGTTTCTCAAGAGAAGCTAGTTTATAAAGGCAATGGCTTAGGCATTTGGCCATTAACCTCAAGATCAATGCTGGCTTAAGACCCACCAGCCACACAGTTAGAGAAAGATGAGGCTGCTCCTGCCAAGACGTACAATCTCAAAAACCTTATGGAGCAGTTCTTCTCTGGTCTGTAGGGTCACTGTGATTCAGAAGCAAGTTGGTGTCTGTGGGTTTCGGTTTTGGTGTTGAGCAAACACTAGACCTTTAAAAGACAATGGAGAAATTACATTTGTTTTTGCATTTCACTTTTCCCTACAAATTTTTGAAGTATTTGCCCCAGGGAGGGAATTTCGTAGATGGGAAACATGAGCTGAACCCTACAGTGTCTTACGAAGGGGCAGGGCTGTGTTAAGCCTGGCTCCCAACTTTCTGAATGCTGAGCAGGGATAAAGAAGCAGAGTTCCCAACTCGTGGCAACCCAGTGCACATGGAAAAAAATGCCTAGTCTTGCACCATCTGTAGGAACAGTTGCAAATTAGACCACTGTGGTCCACAGGTTTTTTATTACTTTTCAGATATCAATACCACCAGGCCTTTCTTTGTCCATCTTAGTTTGGAAGCTCCACTGAAATGTACATCACAGCACCACACACACCTCTATTGATAAATGGCAAGTAGCTACTTAATGATTTTATTGGCTGGCACTTAAACTTTGGTTTGCATGAGAGGTAAGAATTCTACCACCAACCCACCAGTGTCTCCTTAAGACTTTAATCCTCATGTTCTTAGTGAAGTATCTTACCCTGCTTTCAGCTATGCCTGACGTTCAATTCTAAGCTGCTCTTTCCAGAGAAGAAAACTTTCCTTTGAGGTAGTAGAAGGGCAGTCACTTGTCTATAGGCAGGAGTGGCGAATATCCAATTCTCAGGCTGTATAAGGCCTATGAAATCAATACCACATAGCACGTTTTACCAAAGAGAAGCAGTTCCAGCCAACATATTAAAACAAAAACACCTCAGTGCCATCAAATCAATTGTGACATGGTGACCATATAGGACAGTGGAACTGCTGCTGTGAGTTTCCAAGACTGTAACTACAGGACTAGCCTCATTTTTCTCCATGGAGTGTCAGTTTTGAACTGTTGGCTTTGTAGTTAGCAGTCAACGAATCTTGATTAATATCATTGTTTCTTAGGGCTAGTTTTCAGTATTAAACTTGATTTGTATGTGATGTTTCAGTTATAACTCATCTAAGGAAAGTTAGTATTTGTCATTCTATAGTGCATCTTTATATGTGATGAGTGGTGTCAGCTTCCAGGATGACGAAGAAAACTTTTCAGCTGAGGAGGGTGACAGTGATGAGCAGCGTCAATGTCTCACCACATTCATACGTGCTGTAACATTACGGAGTCTACCATGAGACCCAGCCCAGAGTCTGCAGTCCCAGTATGGATAAGTGTTGAAGGAAGTATGTTTAAGTGCATTGCAAGCAGTAATGGAAGCTGCTGAAGTCTATACCTGCTCATGACTCCTCTACAAGTTTTGAAGGGAGCACCTTTCAGTAGGGGTACGTGTGGGTTTGTATGTGTCGATGTATGTATGGATTGTGATGAGATATATGAGCCCCTAATGAAATGATTAAAAAAAAGTGTCAGCAAATACCTTTTTTGGGGGGCAGGGCAGCGAGAAGATGAGAACAGGGTGTCAGGAAATGATAGGATTTTTTTTTTATTGCAATGAGAGTAACAAGGAATCCTACCTCCTTACCCCCTGCTTTATGTTAAAAACAGTCCAGCAGAATGAGCAACAGTCACTGGCACTCAGAATATTTTTAAGCCATGCTTCTACACTCCCTTCATGGCGTCCAGCATCTTCTGCAGTCCACAGATTCACCTGCAGTTGTATCTTGCTTTTTCTATAATCCACAGGGTTTTTACTGGCTGGTTCAGAAGTAAATTGCCAAGACTTCTGAGAAATTTCCAGGTGGAGTTGAACATCCAACTTTTGTGTTAACAGTCAAGTGTCTACCAGTCAGGGGCTCCATAGAAAGATTGCTGTGCCTACAATAAGTATTCTCTTACACAGTGTTGTCACTTGTGTGGGGTACAGCAGGAAGGCACACACACAAATAAATTAACATGGATTTGAACTCTTGAGAGGGTGGCGGTGACCTGCATCTACCAGCAGCTGAGTTCCCAGCACTGGTGGGTTATTGAGGATGGCAATGTAAGAGAGTCTCAGTAAGTTATGTCTGGGTACAGAGGGCATGATCACTAAGAAGATAAAGCTCTTTTTCTATCCAGGGGAGCGTGGCCCACCCCCCCATAGTCGGAAAGCTTTCCAAATAACCTCTAACCAGAGGGCAAGCCATGTGCAGCTATGTGGACCCTTGGTACAGTAAACCCTGTGTGTTGTTTAAATTGGAGGTTGATGCTCAAACAATAAAGTGCTTTCATTGAGAGTGGCTGCTATTTCCTGGTGGTTTCTCATGTCACCTGAGGCGCACAAACCACAATATGAAAGGGGATACTATTTACCATCAGTAAAAACTAAGCGCTCATTTCTACTGTTAGCCTGTCTTTCTGACTGTACTTTTTTATTGGTTCGCATGTCTTCATGTTACTCTTTGCTGGATGATGACATCAGTTTTGACAGGGTGGAAAACATGAAGACAAAGGACAGGTCTGTAAATACTTCTTGAAGGTTCCACTTGTGAAGGTATGAGCAAGGAGGAGGCCAAAAAAAGAGTTCTTCCTATGCTGAATCCAGATACATGTCCAGAGGAAGTGAGACATGGGCCAGCTAACAAAGTCCACACATCAACCCAAGAGTTTATTCTGAGTCCGTCCTTGGTAACTGCTATAACACGCTGGCATCTTCCATGGCTTCAATCCATCTGTAAAAGAGCGAATAAGGACACTTGGTTTTGTGGCTCTGCTTGTGACTGATCACAGAACCTAACATAACTGCCCTCGATCACTATTTGTCTAACTCTGGGACAGTCCAAATAGGTAACAGGGACATTACCAAATGGGTATTGTTCCTATATGTTTCCCTAGGACTTGGAAGGATTGGCCCAGTGGCTACCACAACAGGCTCAGACATAACTGTGAGGATGACCCAAGACTAAGTAGTGCTTGTTTCTGTTGTACATAGGGTCACTATGAGGCAGATCCGATTCCATGGTACCTAACAACAACAACAACGAGGACTTAGCAAAGGCCTGGAACACAGAGCCAAAATCAGCTGAACCCAATGCGTAGTTTGATTAACTTTCTGAGAGGGAATAGATCTGCAGTTGTGCTTTGACTAAGGTGACCAGACGTCCCGCTTTTAACAGGACAGTCCCAATTTTTAACAAATTTTCCCGTGTCCTACGGCGTTTTTAAAAAGTCCCAATTTTTGGAAAGAGTGCACGACAACCTAGGGTATACAGTTTTCGGCTGCCATGTGGCTATTTTGCCAGGATATGAGTTTTATCAATGGTGTCCAGCTTTACTAATGTTAAAATCTGGTCACCTTATTTGACCCAAAGATGCGTGATGTGATGTGGTAAGATTTGCTGGCTGGGAAATAGTAGCTAGCACCCACGCTACCAATTTGTTCCTTTTAAAGATTTTAGTACCTCTGAGCTGAATTGGTATCCTCGGCTTTGAAACTATAAAATAGAGTTTTCTTGTGGTAAAGGTGAAAAATGGGTCCGACTTCACTGCTGCCCTCTTGCTTCTCTGGAGCAATGGTGAACCCTAGCAGAGGCATGCTCTCCACGGCCACCTTGTCCTGCAGAGGGAAGAAGGAGAAACAATTATTAAACACTGCGCATGGCATCCAGTCAGGAGCTGGGCTCTCATTGTCACCCCCAATCTCAGATACACGAAGAAAGCTCCTGTGTGCGAGGCATGCTGTGGTCACTGCAGAATAACCATGGAAGTGGACCAGACAGAAGAAAAGGAACATACCATTTCTGGGGCCAGGTGATTGCACCTTAATTTTCTTGTTTACTCTTCACAGCAATCATAGAAGGGGTCACCCCCATTCTAGAATCTCAGAGAAGGTAAGTAGCTTCCCCAATGTTACACAGCCAGTATTTGGACACTTGACTCCTTTCTAACCCTACAGTCTACTGACTTGATTTATCAGGACTTGGTTGATTCTCTAGTTACTGCTGATAACATAAACTTTATACTCATCCTGCCAGAAGCACACATGGGGTCAGTGGTCCCACTAGAGCAGCGGTTCTCAACGACTCCTTGGGGTCACCCAATTCATAACAGTAGCAAAATGACAAGAAGTAGCAAAGAAGATAATTTTATGGTTGGGGGCTCACCACAACATGAGGAACCGTATTAAAGGGTCGCGGCATTAGGAAGGTTGGGAACCACTGCACTAGAGGAATAAAAGGGTTTGGATCACAACGGGACGCAATCAGGGTGATACCAAAAGGACTGCCTATAAATTTTTATGCAGTGTTTCAGCAGAACTTTATTTTTCAATGAAATTATTCCTATAGTTAAAACAAAAACATTTGGTAATGTAGCTTACGTGTATCAGTATACCTACAAGGCTAAAACTTTATGCTGATTTACATTTTGAACCTTCTAAGCTAAAGCTGTCATTACTCAATTCGAAGGGTGCTTCAAACTGTGGTTTCTTTTTTTTTAAGACCATTTTATTAGGGGCTCTTACAGCTCTTATAACTATCCATACATCAGTTGTGTCAAGCATATTTGTACATATTTCCCCATCATTATATTCTAAACATTTGCTTTCTATTTGAGCCCTTAATATCAGCTATTCTTTTTCCCCACCCTCCTCCCATCTCCCACCCAAATGACTCCTTAATTATTATTATTTTCATATCTTACCCATCCCCCATGGTTTCTGTTGTTCATCCCCCTTCGAAGGAGTTGGGGGTGGTTATGTATCGATCATTGTGATCAGTTCCCCCTTCCTTCCCTCCTCTCCCCACTTTCACCCTACCCTCCTGGTATCACTACTCCCATTTATGTTCCTGAGGGGTTTATCTGACTTAGAAAATCATCGTTTCTTTTGCATGTACTGCAAGCATGTGCTGGTGATTTTGTTGTTGCTAGTGTAAAACTTTTCTGGTGTTTTAGCTGTAATATTATGCTAATTAATTTACTTGTGAATCTGTATCAATAACTTTTCTTGAGAATTCAGTGATATTAAAAGAAAAAGAAAAATCCAACAAGGCTTCTGCTCAGTTGCTAATAATGTAACTCAATGTAGAAAGAATTTACACAATTTTTTTAGTATTCATATTCATGTAGCCTAAGAAATATTTAAGCACATACTTGTCACATTCTATGATTAAACTCCACAATAAACATTACTAAGGATTCTACATGGTATGGGAGGAGGGGATGAAACACCATCCTTACCACACTAGGTGACAAGAACCCTAGTGATGTCACTAGATAAGATGTACCCAGAGAGACACAGATCTTAAAAATATAGTGCTCAGTGGAAAAAACACAACTGAAGGGCTTTCACAACTTCATTTTAAGGCATATTGTTAACTGAGTAATCAAGGCGGTATTGTACTGACATAAAGATTAGTAAACGAATCAGTGAAACTAGTAGAGACCTACAGCTAATCAGTCATTTAATGTTTTAACAAAGACAGTACATGACTATTACAGAAAGGGAGAACTTTTCAACAACTGGTGCTGGAATAGCTGAGTATCCATATGGAAAAAGAAATGCACGTCGATCCCTCTCTCGCACTATACACAAAGACTACTTTGAGAAAGACCTACATGTAAACTAAAACCTTAACATTTTCAGGACAAGGGAAAATCTCTTTATAATTTTAGGTCAATAAAAATGTATTAGGACACCGAAAACAAAAGCCATAAAAGAAAACATTAGTGAACTAGAGTATAAAAATGAAGAACTTTTGTTCCTCAAAAGATACTATTATTAAGATGAACAGGCTGGGAGAGTTTATAAAACATTAGTCACAAAGGACCAGTATCTAGAGTATATTAGGAACGTCTTACTCAATGTTAGAGTGACAAGCAATGCCCATTTAAAAAAAGGAAAATGAAAAAAGATCTGAACAGACAATTCCCCAAAGGGACATATGAATGGCCAATAAGCACAGGAAAAATGCCACATACTTTAATATCATTAGTCATTTCCCAAAATCCACTGTCACTGTCAATCCTGTCTCAGCAACTTTCTAATACAGAGAACTGCTCCATAGTTGTTTCCAAGACTACATCTTCATAGAAGACAACCTTCTCTTGTCCCACAGTGTAGCTGGTAGGTTTGAACTGTTGACTTTGCAGTTAGCAGTCCAATGTTTAACCCACTATGCCACCAGGGATCCTTCATTAGTCATTAAGGAAAATCTAAATTAAAACTATATCACCACCACTACCTACCAAGTGTTGACAAGAATGTGGAGAGAACCCTCTAATTCCCTTGCATTGCTGGTGGGACTATACCATGATCCTGGCATTCCTTAGAAAACAAGTATATGAAGCCAGACTTCATTTTGCGGAGTTTCACTTCATTGTACTTTGTAGAAAACCGTGCTTTCTACAACTTGAAGGTTTATGGCAACCCTGGACTAAATCTACTGATGTCATTTTTCACAATACATGTGCTCACTGTGTCTCTGCCATATTTTGGCAATACTTGCAATATTTCAAACTTTTTCATAATGCCATTATTTCATACTTCAACAGACTACTCAAAAACTCAAACTCAGTGCCACTAGTTTGATTCCAACTCATAGCAGCTCCAGAGGACTAGCTAGGCAGAGCTGCCCTTGTGGGTTTCCGAGAGTGTAACTCGAGTAAAAAGCCTCATCTTTCTCCCAGAGCCACAAACTGATGACTGGGGTTAGCAGCCCTAAGAGGAACCACTATATTACCAAGGTTGCTCTAATAGACTATATAGTATAGTGTAAAAATAATTCTTAAATGTACTCAGTTCACTGCCAGTGAGTCAGTGCTGACATAGTGACCCTCTGGACAGGATAGAACTGCTCCTATGAGTTTCTGAGACTAACTCTTTACAGGAGTAGAAAGCCCTGTCCTCTCATGGAGCATCTGGTAGTTTACTGCTGACCTTGCAGCTAGCAGCCCAATGTGTTACCATTATACCACCAGGGATTCCTTATATGTACAAGGAAGCCAAAAACTTATGTGACTTGCTTTTTGCAATATTCACTTTATTGAGGTGGTCAGGAACTGAACCCACATCTCTGAGATATATGGCTGTACCTTCCTTTTGATCTAGTAACTATTCCTAAGTATTTATACAAGTGAAATAAAAACTTAAGGCTTACCAGCATGCAGATGTTTAAAAGTTTTATACATAACTGCCAAATGCTTTAATTACTGAATAGATTAACAGGCTGATATATTTATTAAATACTTAGAAATAAAAATGAATAAATTGCTATATTGCAATAAAATGAGTGAATTTCAAAAAACACTGAGTGGGAGATGTCATAGATAACTCGATTCATAGGAATATCTCAAAGAAGCAAAACTAGTAAATGATGGAAAGCAAATCAGAGTAGTGTATGTGCTGACTCTGGGCATGGGGGGTGAAGGTGAATATTTATAGGGGTGTATATTAATGAAAGGAGCCCTAATGGTAAGTGCTGAGCTGCTAATAACATCAAGGTGGGTGGTTCAAACCCAGTAGCCACTCCTCAAGAGAAAGATGAGGCTGCACCCATACAGATTGGAAATGATATGTAAGGTCGCTGTGAGTCAAAACTCTGTAACACTGGGTTTGGGTTTTGTTTTTTGCGTTAGTTAAAACTCATCCAAGAACATATTTAATACTTACATACTTAATTATATGTTAATTGTGGATCGAGGGATGAATAAATAGGTAGGAGATAAAGTACAATATATGTTAATTATATGAGGGAAACCCTCAATAGGATGGACTGGCACAGTGGCTGTGACAATGGGCTCAAACCTAACTGTGAGGATGGCACAGGCAGTGTTTCAGTTGGTTTTATGTAATATCACCATGACAACTGATAGCAGCTTCCTCCATTCTCTTACATTTTGTCCCAAATGACTGAAGTGGCAAGAAGAAATATGCTTTCTTTTACTAAGTGTCTTGCAGTCTTAGATATGGAGGTTTGTGGTATTTAACATTTTATCCTGTAATCACAGAGAAAGAAAAGTCCTGATGTTTGGAGCACAAGCAGTCATTTCACAGCAACTAGTAGCACCTGGTGTTGCTCAATAAGTAACAGCACTGAAATAAGAACGGTGGCAGCAACTGGGACTCCTACTGTCCCCGGCAAGTGCTTGGAGGCAGGATTGAAGGGGTGGGCCTTTGCGCAACAGAGGAGGGAGCAAGAACTAATTCCTACCTCACTGGCCATGTAGGTGTAGAGAACTTTGCCTTTGATGACAAACCACAGCTTCTTCCAGTGTCTCTTGCCTTTCTTATACCGGTTGAGATAGCCACTGATGGCAGAGCCCTCTCCGGAGGCAGCCACCTGGTGGGAGATAAGCAGTGGGTCAAGGTCTCAGGTGGAGCACGGTTCAAATAGAGAAAACGGCATTCCACTCCAGCTGTTAGCACTTACACTGTTTTGAAATTTCAAGCTTCACAGATAGTGAATTTTTTACAAATCAAATAGGTCTGTTGGCACCATTTTTTCCAACAGCATATGCTCATATTTTGGTCGTTTTTGCAGTATCTCAAATTTTTTCATGGTGTGATAACATTAACTTTATATACATTGGGAAACAGACTGGCGTGATTCACTTTAATGGGTGGTCTTCCAGGTCTGCCTGTATTTGAGGAGTTCTCAAGATCCATCAAGTACCAAAGCCAATAAAATTGCACTTCATGGTTTGGTGAAATGAAAAACCCTAGTGGCATAGTGGGCTACAAGTTTGGCTGTTAACTGTAAGGTCCGCAGTTGAAAACCACAGGCCACTCCTCAGGAGAAAGATGA